AATTAAAAGATCCAAACACATCAAAGACCTTTTTCTTCTAAAACGTACCCACTTTCTGCAATGAATCTACCTTTGCAGTTTCTTCTCTAAAACACTTCAGTATCCCATCTCTTTTAAAATTACTAAACAAAAGTATGTTGGTCAGTATAAATCCAGTAAACAGGCATAACAAAATAGCAGCTGAATGAAATGCAGCCATCCTTTTTCTTGTTCTCTTGCTTGTAGAGCTGGCACGTAGGATGAAGGATTACTACTTACTCTCCTTCACCACGAGAGCCTGAAGCATGTGACCCACTCAGGCCAACAGATCTCTAAGGAAACCTATGGAGTAGAGGAGATTGAGCTGTAAGGTTAACTACAAACTTTCCAACTCATTTGCAAGGATTTGAGGCTTATATTTATTGCAGTCACGTCGACCACTACGAGTGACAGCATTACTGTCACAAAGTATGGCACTAGAAGGATGGCAAGGGCCAAAGCCATGGACCTTTAAATTCAAATATTCTGTTACTCTAAGAAGTCTGGGTTTATCTAATTACTTGAACTACGTACTTAATCCCTGTTTGTAATAATCAAATTTAATAAGCAAGGGCATTTCATTTGTTTTATATATATGTGAATATATATATATATATTCAATTTTACCTTAAGCCATAAATTCTCCCAATTTTCTATTAATAATGAAAGTGTTTAAAGTAGTAATAGAGAGTGTATTGACTAAATTTGCCACGGTTCTTCTTGGGATGCAATTATTGTCATAGATCAGAGTTTCTTGGTTGCTAAGTATGTTAGCAATTCCCTATTAAGGACATGTGGGTCCATTTATAGTCTGTGGTTAGGTAGACTCATGGCTTTTAGACTTATTCTGGGTAGGCTGGGTAAAAGTAGTGGAGAATGTAAGATAGAACCAAAGCATCCACCTCATGGCTGAGAAGAAAAGTAGAGAAAAAGGAAGGAGATGGGGTGTCATCACTTCCTTCCAGGGGACGTCCTCAAATGATAAAAAAATCTTCTTAATAGACATTACCTTTTTGAAAATTTCCCTAAAGCCCAACAGCCCACAGTAGGGAGTAAGTCTATAACATATATAGACTTTTGAGGATTCTTGTGATCAAAGCCATAGAAATCTCTGTCTTATGGGAAGTTTTATAGGAACTATGAATAAAATAAGTGTACATGCCATAAAACTTGCACTCAACATTGCACATACACATTTCATCCAGGATAATGGCTCTGAAACTTTTCCTTCCATCCATAAACAAGGTGATAGGAAATCATACCTTATCAGACTCCGTCAGTAAGTATGATTCTTCATAAAGTTCAAACCAACAGTTTTAGCTATCCAACTCTGTCCTCAACACAATGATACAATAGACTGGACCAACAGACTTTTAGTTTCACAGTCTAGTTCTCAAGATTTATCCATGATTAAATATTTCTTTAAGGAGTACACTCATTATACCTAGAACTGAACCTTTTCTAGGAAAGTGTAATGAAGCAATATGATAGCTATTCTTAGATGTCAACTTGACTACATCTGGAATTAGCTGAAGTTCAAAATGGAATGGCACACAGTGAAGGATTTTTACTTAATTTGAAGTAGGAAGATCCCCTTCTAATCTGCATCTTGAGGCAGGAAACACACACACACCGTTAATCTTGGTCTTGAGGCAGGAAGATACACCTTTAATCTGGATCACACTTTCTGCTGGAATCCTATATAAGGACATGAAAAAAGGTAGCATTTTCGCTTTGCCTGATTGTTCTTGCCTTGATAGCAAGTCCATTCATTCACTGACAAAGAGCCTACTTAAGGATTCCAGCCTCTACTGAAGACCAACTGAGACATCCAGCATCATGGACTGAGCAGCTTCTGGATTTTTGAATTTTCATTCCTAGCCAACCATTGTCAGATTTGCTGGACCACAGTCTGTAAGTCATTCTAATAAATACCCTATATATATATATATATATATATATATATATATATATATGCATGTGTGTATGTCTGTGCATATGTGCGTGTGCTTGTGTGTGTGTGTGTATGTGTGTGTGTGTGTGTGTGTGTGCAGTAACTAATTAGATGTTACAGTTGAAAAGATGTGGGAACCAATACACAATTGCACAATGTTAGGCAAGTTATAGAGTTGTTATAAAGAAAATATTTTCTTTGGTTAGGTAGAAAAAAGAAATCTATAAATGTTGTGTGTAAAGGACCATATGAGATGCTCGCTGAAAATTCCGACACATAATATATGCCTAGTAGTTGGAGAACATTTGAAAATGCAATATTAGTTGTGATTATTATCATTACTATGTTGTTTAAAAGTTAATCTATGGGTCTGGAGGGATGGCTCCTCAGTTAAGTATACTTTTAACTCTTGTTGTTGAGGACTCAGGTTTCTTTCCCAACACAGGGTTGCTCACAAACATCCTTCCTCCAGTTCCAGGGGACTTGATGCCCTCTTCTGATCCCCATAGACACCAAGCATGCATAGGGTAAATATATGCATGTGTAGGCAAAACATCCACACACATCTAATAAAATATTTTTTAAAGTGAATCTATGGGAACTTGTTCAGTGTTTCACTGGTCCTTTAAATACAGGCATCATATTTATTATTTTAGTATGATCAGCATCCTATGTCAATGAGAGTTGATTCATGAAAAACACACAGATTTAAACTAAATCCTTCAACCTCGATGCTGTAATTTCTAAAGAAATGCTTCCTCATTCCACCAGTTACAGGAAAAGTGCACTGATGAGATTTTTTTTTTTTAATTTTCATCATTAGTGGACTATTGAGTTTACTTCTATAAATACCAGAGAAATATATTTATATGCTATGGTGTTTTTCTGAGATTAAAAAAAAAGAAATCCTACAAAACCTCAATTCATGAATATTCACAATTATTCACCATTTTGTGTCATCTGTGAACTTATTCCTCTTACAAATGGCCAATAGAAACATTACATTTCCCCATAAGAAAAGAAAAGGACTTAGGTCAATCAGCCACTTAAGTTACCAAAGTCCCTAGGAGATCTTTAATTGATGTGCTATGCTACAAATCAGCAAAACATTCAACACCAATTAAGAAGTGATCTGCTGGACAGGCGTATATCTGCAATCCCAGCATTAAGGAGGCCGAGGCAGGAGATTGAGAGTCTGAGGCAAATCTTGGGTCTATAGAGAGGCCTGATCTTTAAAAAAGTACAATGAAGAAATATTTCAGGTATAGGACAAACATGTATTTTTAATCTGTCAAGCCTCTGGGACTCCACCATACCAAAGTTTGAACATGCTATGTTCCTCCCTCCCAAACTTATACCTGAAAAGTTTATAGTAGCAAAGTTCATAAAAATATGTTGGCTTTCATGGTAATACATTAAGACAATGAGTTCACCAAGACTGATCATGTTTAGTGCAGTCCAAATCACTACCAAGACTAAACTCCTGTGCTACTGGTAGTGACTATGACCCTCCCTTGAACTTCCACCCGCAACCACCACTGGAAATATGTTTGCTGGTTAATTTGTCAGTATTGTCCTCAAACAAAGAGCTCCTTTTTATTGGCAGGTGCAGACAAAGCTTAGAAATGCTATACAAAACGACTCAACAAAAAAAAGAGAGATGGCCTTGCTGAGAAGGTAGTTCTTTCTGATTTTCTGTAATAGACTTCATTTTGCCATGAAATTAAATTTATAGTATATCTGCTAGACACGGGGACTCCAGCAAAGCTTCACTATTCCATGCTTTGACATTAAAGCAGGCATTTTCATGGGGAGGCCATTTCAAACCAAATAACTGGTTATGTGAGCCATTTACAGAAAGCCTTTATTTAAAAAGAAAATGGATAGGCACCACCATTTCCAGAAACTGTTAGTATACAGGCATACATTCAGATTTTGTTTTCCCTGGAGAATATGCCTAAAAAGACAGATGTAACATTAGACAATGGAAAGCTTTTTGGCCTACTACAACAACTCTTTTTTATTATTCTGACTCATAATCTAGCATTTATCAGGTGGCAAGTTGCAAATAAAACAGCAAAATTCTATTTAAGTGGTGGGCAGTCTCATCATAATGAAAGTCCTGCCTTTGGTTCAGCTCTGGAGTCCAGATTGCATCAGGTGGTGCAAAATATCAGTCATAGTCCTTGAAGGAATCTATATCAACCACAAAGTCAAGGCCAGAGTAAATGTCCCAGCCCATACTTAGTGGCCAGAGTAGAAGGAGTGCAGGCTAACTACAGCATTTGAAAACTGATGGTAATTTCAGTCTTTATTTACATAATCAATTAACAATTAAAAAAATAGAACACCAAAAATTCAGATAGTTAAATTAAGAGACAAATTTGTGGAATCAGAGTGACTGATTCCATTTGTTCATCAGGGAAAGGTCTAGGCCTTATATAAAGTTTATGCATGATAACATCAGAAAGCAGATTCATGCTTTTGAAATATGAAGAGGATAGATTTATCATAGATGAGTAATAAAATTGTTCAAAACAAATCATTTTTGAGTGAAGAAAATGGGTTAATGGCTAAGAGTTGTACAAACATAAGACCTGAGTTTAAATGTCCAGAATTCATATAAAAAAAAACAAGTATGGTTGGTGATATGTTCATCTCTAACTCCAGCCATATTAGGGAGTGAAACAACAGGATTACTGAGATTTTCCTGTCATCAGTTAAAGTTCAGTTCGGGTCCATCTCAACTAAATCAGGCAAAAAGTCATAGCACAAGATATCCAATATCCTTCTCTGGTCTCCACACACTTGTTCACACACACACACACACACACACACACACACACACACACACACACATACACACACACACACACTCACACACACACATGCATATATATCCCCCAAAACACACACACACACACACACACACAAATAAGCAATTTCTTATTGGCATTCTTACTTAAGGTCATCTGCTTCAATTTCTCATTCATAAATGACAAAGCCAAGATTCAAATGTGTTACTTACCCATCAAGCCTGTACCAAAAACTAAGTCCTTGGGATCCAAACTCAGTCACCCTCACAGCAGGATACACTGCTTCTGAAATAGACCGATAATAATTATTGAGTTTTCCTGCAACATAAACTTTTGACCATGAAGAGTGCCTTATTTTATCTGTTAAACAAAATGTCTTCTGACCTGAAGCCTACATGTGGACTTTCTTACTCCCAAGCATTTGACAATATAGTAGAACTGAAACACTGCAGAACATAGAGATCCCAATAGCATAGAAGCAATGAGCATCATGCCTCCAGGCAAGACACAGTTACAAGGAGCTGAACAAAATCCATCCACAGCAAACTGTTTTTGTAAGATTAATCAAAGTGGGTCCCCATAAGAAGAAGAAACCCTTGGAAGTTCTGGAATGCATAGCCTACAGCCTGGTGGCAAACTGTGAGTGGTGGGGACCTGGCCAGCTCGCCTGGAAGGCAGGCATAATGAATGCACCTGCTCATCTGAGAGGCAGCTTTGAGCCAAAATTTGACAGAGACACATGGACATAGGAGCTGGATGGTACCTGAGTGTGATTTGGGTTTATTTCCTCATTTTAAATGTGAGAAAACCAGGCCTCAAGAAGCAGCACATCTTTCTAGAATCCATAGTTCATGACATCCCGAATTTATTTATTTATATTTATATATATATAATAGACATTTCTTTTTATGTGAGAAATACAGGAAACCTGAAGATATTATTAAACATTTAACATGGGAGGAAGTATTTAGCTATGAAGGGCAAATGTAAGCTTCTGCTCCATGAGTTCCAAGTTGTCACATTTTAACCTCTGTTCCTCCATCCCTAATGTGGGGACAATATTTAGTTTCATAAATGTCCACAATGAAATAACAGGTTATAACCACAGGTCTTTTTGAAGCATAAATTGGTATGTAAACATCCCTTTTTTCCCATAGAATTCCTTTTGGGGAAATCCTCCTAAAGTCAGAGCTAATGCTATTTGTGTCAGGGATGATTGGTGCAGTGAAGAACACCAGGCATTCAGTGTGGCTCTGGGAACACTGCCATTAGGCATGGCTGCAGGATTTTCTAGGATGATGAATGTACTGCAGGAATTTGCAGACTTTTACAGGAACATAGCATCACTCAATCTTCCAGAATCTATTCACAGAAAAATGCATGCTACATACATATAAACACCAGACTTCACATGACACCCCAGTATTTTCAAAAACACCCCAGTTTGTAGCATTATGCAATGCAAAATTCTCTGTGAAAAGAGAATCATTCCAACTTAATGATAGAAGCAATTCTATGTTGTTGTTGCTGTTTTTTACTTTATAATAAATACTACTCCGAACCAGAAATGAAGTAGTTGGTTAAATGTCATGATGAATTTGGGTTCCAAATTCTATAGTGCCCTTACCACTTAAAATGAAAGAACTAATTAAATATATTATTATTCCAGACTAACTGAATAAATTTGAAAATATAACTCCTTGTAAACTTCTGATATAGAAATCATAAAGGAATGAAGAGAATGACTAGAAATAAAATGAATGTCTGTAAATGAGAAACTTCTTTACAGACATATATGTACACATGTAAGAATGCTCATGCATATATATTAGTAATTATAAGCTCTTCAGTCCATAAAATGTTACTTGCATGTATATTTTCAGGAATGCCCATTTTTCGATGGACAACCAATTGGTGTATTCTTCCCTAGGGAAGACCACATCTCCCACTCCCAATTTTCCTCAGCTGCCTACAGTTCTGATAGAGGGCTGTAGCCTTGCAGGCTTTTCCCTGTACACTTTGACATGTTCATTGGTGCTATTCTTGGTCAACTCATGTTTGGGCAGTCATGTTGGTAAGACTTCTGGGTTATTGGAGGAGAACACACAACTGCTAATTTCTTAAACCAGCAAAATCCCTAACAATAATCTATAAATATTTGTCCTTTTATCCACAGGTAAGTATAGCCATTACCACTTATCAAGGAAATTTCTCTTAGAAATGTACAGAAACCATTATAGAAAACCCTGACTGATCAGAATGCAGAGTTGTGGATTCCAGTCCCAATAGACATAGTTACAAAACCCTTTCTCACCTAAGACTCAGAAGAGGGGGCAGAAATATTGTAAGAGCCAGAGATCAGAAAGTTTGCTGTGAGCTTTTGTCTTCAAGTAACACCAAAAGCACTGTGTTTTCAAGACATCATCCTAGGGTTTCCTATTAGCCTGGGGCTCACTAAGTAGACAAGGCTGGCTGGCTAGCAAGTTGCAGGAATCCCCCTGTATCTTATGCATCGGTATTGCATGTATGCTATCATATCCAGCTTCCTTAAATGTGGGTTTTGAGGATCAAACTCAGCTCTCGAGTCCCCATACTTTCCCCAATAAGTGCTTTCCTCACTAAGCTATCTCCCTATTTCTAAAAGTACTTTAAATTTCAAAATTACTAAGTTGAGATAATACATTAATTACTGTAGTGTGGATACTAACTTGTCTTAATAATAAAAACCCAAAGCTAGATATTAGGGTAAATGCTGAAAGATCAGAGAGACAAAGGAGCAAGCCAAAGCTACCTCTTATCTCACCAACTCCTCAACCTGAAAGGGGTGAACTCCTGTCTTTTCCTGCCTTATATTTCTCTCTCTGCCCAGTCACATCACTTCCTGTCTCTACCTCACTAGTGCTGAGATTAAAGGTGTGTGCCTCCCAAGTACTGGGAGCAAAGGCATGAGAACCCATGCTGGAATTAAAAGTGTGTGCCATCACTGCCTGGCTTCTATCTTTAATTAGTGCCTAGATCTACACTCTGATCTCGAGGCAAGCTTTATTTGTTAGAGCATGAACAAAATATCACCACACTTTCCCTTTTTTGTCTGAAATAAAAAAAGGTTATAACAAATATAAGAAAAACTATACACAGTAAGTATAACTATATACAAATATATACAGGCAATAATTACATTAACAATGTCTAGTCCATAAACATTTGACAAATTCAGAGAAAATATTCTATTATCTATCCTATCTTGGTGAGTCCAAAATGTTGTACCTAATTCATTTTCTATTATAATTTGCATTACCAGAACTGTCTTTTAATGTCTCTTAACCCTATTCATTTTACATCTCTTTAGTGAATTTCCTTTCTGAATCTGGTAACAAGGAAAACTATAACTACAACTATAAATTCTTTCACTCCATCAGATACCAGAGAAGGAAAATAGTAATACCTGAGTAAGCAAGAAATACAAGCAAGATACTTCCAAAAAATGTAAGAAATGACAGAAACAGCTGGCTGCCTGGACAGTCACCCAAGGTTCCTCTGTAATGTTGGGGCATCCATCTTCAGCCTACAGGCCTAATATACCTGAAAGACTTTTCTGTGAAACAAGATATTCTAAAGGACGGTCCTACCTTGTCTTGGCAAAGTTTGACAGTCACTTTCTTTTGTGTCCTGCTTGTCTAATTTGGACAGCATGCTGTCAGCAGTCAAGGCAAGGATGCTTTCTTGCCCTGTGGCTTACTTTTGCCACAAAACAAACAGACAAACAAATAAATAAACAAACAAACAAATAAACAAACTCCGTGTGGAATTTCTTTGATACCTATCATCTTCTCCAAAGTAGATTGGTGTTGCCAGGAGCAGACATGTCTCATTGTCATAAGAAAACTTATGCTTTAATTAGCAAAAGCTATATCCACCATGCACCATGTTACACGGCTTGCAGAAACCTATGTGTAACTTGGCAGGAATCCACCATGCTGTAGCTCCAACCTGCATGCCCTGAACCTGTTACAGCCAGGGGACACATCATTGTACCTTGGCCCAACATGAGCGACATGAACTAAGAAGATGCTCTTAGCTACATTTATAATCTCTTTTTAAGCTCTCTCATGATAAAGGTCTTAGAGAGACCAGGAATACAGGGAACATACCAAAATATAATAAAGGCAATTTATAGCAAGTCAACAACCAACATCAAAGTAAATGGAGAGAAACTCAAAGCGATTCCACTAAAATTAGGAACAAGACAAGGCTGTCCGCTCTCCCCATATTTATTCAATATAGTACTTGTAGTTCTAGCTAGAACAATAAGACAACAAAAGATCAAGGGGATAAAAATTATAAAGGAAGAAGTGAAACTCTCACTATTTGCAGATGATATGATAGTATACATAAGTGACCCCAAAAATTCTACCAGGGAACTCTTACAGAAAAAAAGAAAAAAGAAAAAAACAGAACATGACTGAACCAAAGTTGACAGCAAAGGGTTACCTTGTCTGTCCTTCATTGATATACATTCACAAGTACAGTGCCTACCTTTGCCACACCTTCTGCATAATCCAAAAGGGAGGAGCATTCTATTGAGAGTATTCTTAGAAAAAAAAACATTGTTCCTAGGAACATCCTGTTTACACTCACTTTTGAGGTGACCTTGTTTCACCCAAATGAAACACTCTGATATTTTAATTTTTCTTCAAGCCTCTGGAAATCACCTCTCCTATCCAAGCATCATCATGGTTATGGGATTTTATATTGACTGTATCTCAGATTCATTCCTCTCAGGGTGCTGATCCTGCCTTTAACAGCCTAATTACCCTTTTGCATTGTGCATTAGCATTTTTAAAAGCCAGAGATTCAATTATTATTTGTCTAACTTCTGAATTTAGTATCATTCTATTTACTGCAGAAATCAATCTTTGTAAGAAATCAGTGAAGTTTTCTTATGGGCCCTGTACAACTTTAACAAATTTTCCTTTGTACTTCTTCAATTCTGTCCCAAGCATTCAAGGCTGCTATGTGGCATAAAGCCAAGGTATTGTCATTTCATAGAGATTGCCTTTTTACATTTGCATAATCTCCTGCTTCAAGAAGTTGGTTTTGGGAGATTTCCACACTTCTAGCCCTACTTCCTTGTTTAATGGTCTTAACCTCATCTCTCCTCCAAGTCCTCCACTGTAACTGAGAACCATGCTCCAAGACTGCTGTAACCAAGTCTCTCCAGTCTTGAGGAATAATTCTATTACAAGTTCATCATGTGGTCATGAGTTTAACATCTGCTTCACAAA